GCTCCTCTTGCAGCCCCAGGGGTTCTTCCCCCCACCCCTCCCATCCCTGGTTCTACAGGGACTGGAGGACGTGGAGTTTCCAGAGATCATAGAGATGAGATATCAGCGGTTGGATAGACAGAGGTCTTCCAGGAGCATAGAGTTGAGCCAGAACAGTAGATAGATGGGACTCCTCCTGGTCATAGGGGCTAGGATGACTGTGGCTAGAGAAGCCCCTTTTTTCCATTCTCATTGGATTGTTCCCCCCCCCCCCATGTCTCAGTGACACTGAGCTTTACTACACTGGCAAGTTTTGTCACCAAAAACTGTCATTTGGCCACAAAACAGCAAGAGCGTACACACTACAATGGGACTTTTGTTGTGAAAAATGCCCAGTTTTGGTGACAAAAAACTTCCATCCTGACAAGAGACTTTTGTCTTTCCCCCCTCCCTTTATTGTCCACAGAGAGCCTGTGTAGACACTGCTGATTGTTTTGTGGGCAGAACTGGCTTCCCTCAGGGTCCCACAATATCTGCCCTGAATGCTCAGCTCAGTGTTTTGATCTCTGCTGCCCTGCAGGCATGCGCCCCTCCCCTTTCAAAGTTCAGGGAAGTATCTGACAGCTGAGTGTGTTGCTCCATTTGGGGAACAAACACAGAGCAAATCATTGGAATGCTCCTGTTCTGCTCTGCACTAGGAACACCGCAGCAGGCCGACTGCTGCTGCAGGGGGAGGGGGGCAGGCTGATGTGCTCCTTCGCCATTCCTCAGCATACAGAGCTCACAGAATTACTCATGATGCCACTCCGGGCAGCTCAAGGGGCTGTGAGAGAACTTGAAGAGAATCCCAAGATGTGCAGAGATCAGCTCTTCCTTCCCACAACACCGCACTGTGGGATACATACCCATGGTGCATTGCTCACCCTGTTGACGATGGTGTCCCCAATATGGACATGATCTGTTGACAGAGGGAGCAAGTGTGAACACCCTTTGGTGATTTTTGTTTTGTCGACTTTTGGGTGTCGACACAAGTTTTGTCAACAAAAATTGGTAGTGTAGACAAGCCCACTGTCTGTCCCAGGATCCCCAGAGACGTCCTGAATCACAGAGGACAGTGGCAAATAGGCTGCACAATCCCTGAGGTAATGATGAGATTGGCTTCTCTATCTCGCTCACTCAATGCTGTCTATGGTTTGACCATCCAGCGGCTGCCCAGAATTGATACCAGAAGCAACCTCCAAGGTCACGGAGACAGCATGATATCACTGGATTGATCATATGGTGGACACACCCACTCCCATTTGTGGATTTTTGGAGAAGTGGAGCCAACTGCTGTAGGATTCTCTCTCTTCCTCCTTGTGTGGAATATTGGTGTAAAGCGCTTCTACATCTGTGGTGGCCATGATGGCGTTTTCAGGAAGATCACCAATGCATTGTAATTTCCTCAGGAAGTCAGTGGTGTCTCGAAGATAGCTGGGAGTGCTGCTAGGGTCTGTGGAGAGAGTCCAAATAGCCAGATAATCCTCCTGCAAACCTGTACAGCCACTAACTGTGGCCCTCAGTTAATCAAGTATTGTATGTCCGATATGCACCTCCAAATACATTTCAGTAAATGTTTGGCAGCAGTAAATACACTGAAATGTTGCAATTTCAGGTTTATGTTGATATTTCAAGGGTATTTGGACTTAAATATGTTGTGGCACATATTCACGTGGTTGTTTACTTATTGAATCAATGTATGCTTTCATGTACCATCACAGTAAGTATCCTACCTTTCCATCTGCTTTCTCGACCACACAGCTCAAATATGCATCAATAACCTACAACACATGATGAAAGAAAAGTCACAATTTCAATAATATTTAATGACTCAATCCTGTTAACAAATACATGTTTAGTGGTATTTAAATGTACCTTATCACTTATCCCGCTTCTCAGTTTCAGGCAATGAAATGAAGCGCCATACAATTTTATGTTTCTCATTTTGGCCTCCAGTCTCTCTGCGTGTTTGCTGGTCATTACAAATTTGACTAGGAAAAAAATATTAACACATATCACATGCATGGTAATACACTTTCCTTTTTCTCTGTTTTACTACTGTGAATGCCGCCACTTTGTACATGAAAACCTTTAACATAGTTCCATTTACAAAGTATGTTAATCTGTTTAAGAAAGGTGCAGGTAACAAATTACCTTTCAGAATCCATTGCTTGTCTTCCACCTCCTCCAGATGCATGTCATCAAAATTGTCATCAGCATCACTTGTATCATTGTTTGAAACATCTTGCCCTATATACTCCTCTTCTTCCATTGCTGTGACCTCTATGTTTTTCACTGTGCTGTCGTGAGATACAGTGCCATCCACTTTTCTAATCTCTTCTGTGGGTGTTTCTGGTTCAGTGTCACCAACTGCAATTTCAGTTCCAATTTTTTCCTCTAATGTGCTTTCAGCAGTTAATGTTGGTGGCTCTTCAAATGGTTTTAAGTGTGCGATATTGTACATGGTTCCTAACAATTTCCCTGAGATGGTTTGCAATTTCACTCTCTTATCCTCAACAGTCGTAATTTTGTATGGTCCCCGATACCTAGTTTCCCGTACTTCTCCTTTTCTTGTTCTCTTTCTAGCATTCAGTAACAGAACAAAGTCCCCAACATCAAATGTTATTTCCCCATATTTAGAATTCTTTCTTTTAGCATAATAATAATAATTAATGGAGATATCCCATCTCCTAGAACTGTAAGGTCATTGAGTCCAGCCCCCTGCCTTCACCAGCAGGACCAAATACTGATTTTGCCCCAGATCCCCAAGTGGCCCCCTCAAGGATTGAGCTCTCAACCCTGAGTTTAGCAGGCTAATGCTCAAACCACTGAGCTATCCCTCCCCCTAATAGCTTAGTTGTTTTTCTTGTGCTTTAGAAATGTTACTTAAAGCCAGTGCAATGTCAGCATCGTGTCTCGATTTCATATTGATGTTGTACTCTTTGCAGAAATCTTCCCCGAATGCATTCCTATCTGGGATCTTTGTAAACAAATGGAGAAGGGGTTGTATTTGTAAAATGAAGACACACTGAATGCCATGTGTACATGAAAGGTGCTGGTAATAACATATACTTACCGTGTAATTCTCTGAGACTTCTTCTGGAAACACTGAGTCAGCACAAGACATTAGTCGAAAGGGTGACATTTTTGTTGTTGCGTGTACTTTAGTTTGAAAAGAAAACAAAATGGGGTCAAGTAATTCATCCCAGTTACTCCCATTGTCATCAACCATCTTCCACAATGCTCTGTAACAAATGCTCATTGATTTGTTTGTTTAAAAACAGACAGTCACACGTACAGTCTTGACTGAAACAGATCATACATAATCAAAAAGGTGTAATACATAATGAAAAAGACTTTCCATGTAACACATTGATTTTGAAGATTTTTTTGTGAGTTGCATCTTCTTGCATAGCACACTCTACTTGCCATTAGTACTGTAATAGTCCCACCCATTCACCTATCTTTTTATGGATTTATTAGCGTTTTCAGCCAAGCCATTGGTTTGTGGGTGGTACGGGCTGGTGAAGTTACGTTCTATTCTCAATCTTTCACAAATATACAGGTTAAACTGAAAGAAAATAAGTTACACCA